ACCACACTTTCAATTTTTCTCTGCCAAAATTATTCAAGAAACATCTTCCATTGAAGAACTGAATTTTCTAGAGGCATTTCACATTCATAAAAATCTTTCTGTTCTAGTTAACGATCCTAATTCCAATAAATTGCCTTCGGCCTTAAAGAAAATTATGTTTTTAGTCTGGTTTCCCACAGATGGGCGCACTTGTTATCTTTTCCAGGCTTTCTTATCTTATCTAATCATTATTTCCTAATTTTCATTTGCGGTTTTGCAGCTGAAGATGGTGGTTCGTAAAACCATCGAAACTAGTCCTGTGAAAATTTTGTAAATATAACGCTGATTTTTGTTGTTTGACTTCTGAATTAGTATTTATTCGGCGTGTTATCGTGTCTTAGTCCTTTTAGTTTAGTTTAGTGACAGAGTGTATATATAGCCTTGCCCTCTACATCTCGAATTAGCTGCAGCTGCTTCTCTCAGCGACAATTCTTGAGAAAGAATCTCATCTACGGAAAGCAACTTTTCTTTACAAATTACGAACTGATTATAGGTATAAAGCTGCTTGAAGGTGTCATTTTTATTTGCTAGTTTATAAAAGCGGGATTTTTATTTCAACAACAACTGCCAACAACACATTTCGGCCATCTGTACGACCACTGTCGACACCAGGGATTCGTACGGTATCACCAATCTGAGCAGGAGAAAACTTTTTTTGAGGTTCATAACATTTTCGTTGCTTGCAGTAAAAGATTCTCTTTCGCGACCGATCTTTTTATAGAAATTAACTCGTGTTGTTCAGTTCAGGCCTGATATGAAGACGTGGTAGGTTGCAGGTCCTCCTCAATATTTTTCTTTGGAATATGGTTTTCGGTATGGCCACCGCTCAGATTTTCATAAAGTATTAACAGTTTCTTTGAGCTCTTCTTCGTTTTCAAAAGTATTAACAATTTCTTAAGAGTTGTTCTTCGGTTTCAATATTGCGATTTGTTCGCCAGGCAAAAAGACGATGTTATGCCCCCTGGTTTAATGCCAAAACATTGTTTCATAAAGTAATCAATCCCGGGAGGAGAGAGTGTTGAAAAAAAACAGGTTCTTCCTCGTTTACTCGCAATTAATGCATTTAACCTTTCAAGAAAAGTTCACGATTTACTGGAGTATCCATTGAACATAAATTAGTGTATCGGGTAAAAAAAAATTAAGAAAACGTTGTGCGTACCATCAAACCTAGCATAAGACTGACAAACAGTGTTCCAGATTATAACAAATACATGCTACATAACTTCAGTCGCAGCATTGCAAAGGATTTGGCGACAGACAGTCACCCCTCTGTTGAACTCGACGTCTCTTTTCGACCTCCACCACAAGATATGTATTGTCAATACACTCGGGTGATGGTCCGAATGTACAAGAATATAACCTATCTTCGGTTTTCACCAACGTATTTGGTATGTGTTGACATTCACCGGTGAATGTCGACATTCTCCAATTTCGGTCTTTTACAGTAACATGTACATAACACATGAGCTAATTTTGAGATAAATTACTCTTTTCGCAAAATACTATGGGAAACCGATATCATTTCGCGTCTACATTCAGTTTCCGTTGCTGGTTTAATTCATCGTGCTATTTACTGTTATATGAAAACTAAAAGAACCCTGCCTTTTTTTCTCTCCCACCACACCGTCACGCATGTAGGATTGCGATGTTTGTTAAATATATTAATTTTTAAAATTTTGCTCTTTGCAACATATTTGACATATATGAGATTTTCTGATAATTGAGTATTAAAAGAGTCTAACCTGAATTCATATGAGGAAACAAAATTTTGAAATTTATCAGAAATTATTAGTTTAGTGTGGGAAATACAATAAACTGAAAATGCTGAATTTTTCTTTGCATCTAACTAAGGGTAAATTCCATTTTTGATGCATAGCAATACATTGTATTCAGGTCATTGCGGAATTTGTATATTCCCAGTGCTTAGAGAAATGTGTGAAATTTTTCCAGTTTTCATAGATTTCATTCTGAAATTCATAGACTTATAAGGTATTTCTCCCGCTTTCCGAGCGTGCCTTCGTAGTGTAGTGGTTCTGCACACTGGGCCGGTATTTGAAAGGTCCGTGGTTCGATTCTCGGCGAAGGCCGTTGCTCCTTTTCCATCTCTCCGGCTTTTCCAACTAACCTAATGTCTCTACAGTGGCACCCGAAATAAAATGGTGTTGGATGAGGATTCTCCACACCCAGGATTTGGCGATTGAGTCCCCTGAAACCCCAGTCGCCCTTTAAAAAGGGGGAGTATGTAAGGTATTTCTCCCCCTTTTCTATCGTGCCTTCGTGGTGTAATGGTTCTGCATGCTGGGCCGGTATTCCAGAGGTCTGTGGTTCGATTCCCGGCGAAGGCGGTTGCTCTCAAAATTTTATTTCTTAATAAAATTGAATTTCGAAAAAAACCTAGTAATCAAAGAAACATTTTCGAATGAAATTTCGAAATAGGGATCGCTGGAAAAGAATTTAAATGTATTTCCTTAGTTTCGAAAAAACAATTTTATGAACCTGTTCTAATGGGTATTACTTGTATTTATTCAAATGCTTGCAAAAAGTGACTTCCCCTCTCTTTTTATAAAATATTTTCATTTTATTTAAACATGCAGTTTTTTCGCTTTTACCTTTCTATCCGGGAATAAAAGAACAAGAGAGGAAAGAATGAGAACTGCTTCCGATTTCCTTTCAACAAAAGGAAATGCTCTGCCGAAGAATGGAGAAAGAGAAAAAGAACAGAACATTGCCGTTTCCATTTTCTAATTACTTAATTAGCATTCTTATTTCTCTGGTAGAATTTTTTAATGCTTTACTGCAAGTAAATTACATTAACAGATTCGGCTTCTTTACCGTCGAATCTCAGATCAAATGAGTGTTCTTTTCAAAATAATCAGTCGTTAACGCTAAAATTACTGTGAAGCCAAATAATGCCGTAGACTTTTAAATTTGAGCAGCAGTAAAGTTTTAAAACTAGAAAATGAAGAAACAAATACTAAATACCCCTCTTCCAAATTAAGCATAGAACATTTTAAAGCTGGGAAATTTGAAAAATAATAAAAATAATAATTTTATAACTGGTGTCGAAAATATAAGAAATGTTTTTATATTTTTAAATGCGTATTACGAAAAGTAAAATAAACTACCTAATTTATTGAAAACTACAATGTTAAAAATAGTCGTTTCGAATTCAAGTTTCATTTGAAATTTGCTTGTTAAAACTTTAAATTAAAAGCGAGTCTTAAAATTCGATGTAATACGTAATATAAATTGATGTCTAGATTCAAACTGACAAAAACAAAATTGGAAAACCAACAAAAAGTATCTTAATGTAAGTTATTATTAAAATACTTATTTTATGTCTAATTAATGTAAAATAATGAATAAAATTGAACTTTTGTAAAAATACTTATTTTATGTCTAGTTAGTGTAAAATAATGAACAAAGTTATTTATTAATGATCATATATGATATTCACAAAAGTATGAATGCCCAAAATGTGCCAAAGTGAAAGTACGACAGATTCAGAACTGCCCGTTAAGGAATATTATCATCTTACACTTTTATGTAGACTTTACAATGAGCTTGTGCACTGTTTTTAGAAGTATAAAGATGATTAGGTGTCAGCCATTTTTCTTATCATGGACCTATAGCTTTTAGATGCGGGAATGCAGATGCATATTCCAAACTCTAAACTTCCTCACTTGCAAAGTATTTATCTCCCAAAGTAATTAAAACGTGCTCATTCAATAAATTTCGTCTGGGGACTGAAAGCCTAATGATAAGCTTTTCTTTGGGTTCTGAAATTGCAACGACGGACGTTATGTTAGTCTGAAAATCTTTTGGAAATGCCTTGAGCGACTTATAAGTGATGACATCGAATAACGCATAAGCCCTTTCGTTAAGATAAAGCAAATTATATGCATTAAATGGGACGCGAGTTTACGCTGTGATGCATTAAGGAATTAATCCTAAAATTATTCTTGTGTTGTAGTTAGTACACCTAGCTAGCAGTTGGCAAAATGATAATTCGATTCATAGAGACGGCATAATTAATTTTTATGGTTTCTCATTGTGAAAGAACTTAATACTCTCAGCACTGGCGCCCAGTCTGAAACCTGGTAGGTGATAACCAGTTGATACTGAGATCTAGGCGAATTAAAGGTAAGGAGAAGGATGTGAGGAATTAGGACATTTTCTTTTGCAGTTGTTAGCAAAGCCAGCTAGCGGCATGAGATCCGTGGCTTGAGCAGAGCATTTATGAAGTTTTCTGCTCTGAAATAATTTGTACAATATCAAATGGTTTGATTTAAAAAGAATTGATTTGTTTTCTTACAGAAAGCAACTCTTCGTGTGTATATCGATACCTCGAGCTGTTTTAGCGAGGTTAATTAAGACAGTAGATTAATTTATTTATGTACCACACTGATTCCAATGGTTCTCGATTAATGACGCTTAATAATATATCATAATTTTGCAAGCCTGTGATTTAAAAATTTTATTTATAATTTTCATTATGAGTGCTAATCTTAAATTCTCGTTACTTATCCATTTGAAACCTGCATTTGGTCTGTTTCATAGAATGTCACAATGTGGTATTAATTTTGACAAATTCGCAAAAAGGTCTTGCGTTTTAGTCAATCTGTTCGTGATCTTACTATTTTACTATGGACAATATTGATTCATAACAAACAGCACGACGAAAAGGGTAAAGATTTCTTAAAAAGTGTATTTAATTTCAAAACTTTCGTAACATATTTCGTGGAGTTTTGCGGCACGCCGATCTCGAAATACTGGCATAATAAAGGATAAAAGAATTATTTTTTATTCTAAAGACTGTAATACAAGTTTGCATTTGTTTCATTTTTAAATTCGTAAAATAGGAAAGCAAATCAGCGTTTTATTAATCTAAAAATAAGTATTATTATTACCTATCCTAATTATAGGTAACTGAGAATGTTCTTTTTCTTTTTTCCGTACAGCGCCGACCCTTCAACACCAGCCACTTCCGGAGAAGCGAACGCCGTTCTACGCTCTTCCGGCGACGTATCGTGGACTTCTCAGTCTTTGCTAAAAAGCGCATGCTCACTCGACCTCCAGTTCTTTCCTTTTGACATTCATGTTTGTTACCTCAACTTTACTTCATGGTCTTACGACTCTGAGCAGGTAAGACGGAGCATCAGATTATTGCTCATTTCTTTACATTTTGCGTTTTTGTATACAATAGTTTGCCATCAAGGTGACGCTAACAAATTCATCAAATGTTGGAGTATTTGTCGTCCTTTTTAAACCTTTCGTCACCCTCTTAATATCAAGTAATGTGTTACTCTTTCAGATTTAGTTAGCTTCATTTGCTATTTGACTAAAGTGATCATGCTGTTAGCATGTGCTACATACTCAAATAGCAATGGAAACTACCTAAACCTAAAAACGTAACGCACTAATATCAAGTAGTGCATTACTTTTCAAATTTAGTTAGCGTCCTTTGCTATTTTCATGCTGTTAGCATCTGCTACATTTTCATACTTTGAAAACTTTTATTTAAAACTTTAGGAACTCCTTCGTTACAGCTCACTATGACTTCCATAGTTTCTGGCATTGATTCTCTAAAGTTAGTACGTCAAAACGATTAGTAGAAACTATAAATTATCGGATTTATAAATTTAATTATTTAATTAGCTATGCTTTAATAAGCGATCGTTGCCTTGCGATGATCAGGCCTTTACTAAATTGAATTTAATATATTCTCTCGTGTTTTACTTAAGTGAGCCTAATTATAATTGATCAAAAGCCACCAAATTATGTTTGTTACCATCAGAAGGATAGATTTATATTTTTTAAAATGGCTTTTAGCATTAATATAATTATGAAAATACTAATATTACTAACTTATTCAAATATCAATGATCACATCTTTGTATATTTTAACAACATCTTTTTTAAAATGTTTCATACGCCATTTTATGTGAAGAAGGAAATTGTCCGAATCTGTTAACTTTGAAATTATATGACTACGTTGAATCAGCAAAATAATCCTCGTATAGTATAAAAGTTTGGACAAAGGCCGATGATATATATATATATGTCATAATCTCGTAAAGCAGTCGCGATGGCTGAGTGGCACGGCGAGAAGAAGGAATTGATACCAAACTAGTTTTAACCAATTAACATCTCTATTTGCAGATTTTCAGGCACACTAGAATAATTCCTTGTAGACAGTATACTCTTTAATCATAGCAATTGCGATAATTTCTTATATGCACAGGTAAAATGATGCGACGTTGTTTCAAGCAGGGAAGCATGAGCGGCGTAGAGTTGTTTGTATGGCAGAAGTCAGGGGAAAAAAGGAGCGTAGTGCTTGTGACTCAGTATTTATACTTCGTAAGTGCATAAAGTATTCTAAGTTATTATTAGTCAACATTAGTCATAGTTACCTTTTTCAACCAGTGTTTTGTAATTTGGAATGATCTCGAATTTGAGGAGAACAGATGAATTTAAAGGGAGATTTAGAATGTTAATTTTGAGGTCGCCAATTATGTTTTAAAGCAGCCATCGTATTTTATTATATCTTACATAAATATATCAGTTGCAGAGTTAGTTTATTTTTCCTAACCAGTTATTTTATGATTTAAATCTTTACTATTATTTCTACTTTGCGTTTCCTCACCAGAATATTAATGAAGTCTGATAGTATTTAAATGGAGATTCGGGGATTGTAAGACAGAGCGTGTTTCTGCCTCTTGAAACTTTGTTTTGATGATTTTTAAATTTTTTAAAGATTTTTTGTTTTTAATGGTGAACTCTTTTTCGGTTAGACAGTGGCACGTAATCTGAGATTTTATTCTGGAATTCTACCCCTTTCTGATTCCGCATTCCTAATCGAAACGTTTCTCTTTCTAAGCGTTAAGCCACAATGTCAAACTGAATTGAGTGTAGCATATTATAATATACTAAATCTTCAGGTATTCGCACTATAAATGGGATTTATAGAAAATCCAACTTACTCAGGTGTCTTTTTTTTATCTCAGATCATATGCTAATTTACTGTAATTTATATGAAAGAATTTTATTTATATTCCTTTATCTCATTTTATTTCAATAAAGAAAAGGTATTTTTATTGATATGAAACAAAATACAATATACAAATAGTTTTGGCAACATTAAACAAAGAAATTATTATTACTATTTCGGAAGGTCTATCGTTTTGATAATTACGTTTCACGCATAAAGGGGTGAGTTCATGTGGCGAATTTTTTTATGTCTGATAGCCTTGATTCTAGCTCTAACTCTCCATAAATGTAAACTCTTTCTTAACACCGTCATGTCAATTTAATCGAACTCCTTTCAGATCGTGTTGCAGGGTCTGTTCAGTTTTCTTGAATGCCGTTTTCCAAAGCCTCATTTTAACAAACCTGAACAACAAAGATCCATATAAAGAAGCGTTAGGTGATTTTACATATATTTCTTTAAATGGGATACATTTTATTCCTGTTTCTGATACGTTTCTTGCCAAATAAGCGACAATTGGCTTAAACGCGTAATTGAAGCTTTGTCCATACGAGGCTCAAATTTATTTTTATCCTTTCCCTATAAGACTGCAATATTTTCTTCAAACATTGGTTCTAAGATATTCCTCTTATAGTACTGTGAATTAATTTTAACCTAACTTGAGAGATTTTTGAATTCCTACTACTAGCTCACGCTCTCCTATATACCTTGTTCAAATTTTCAATCATTAATAAAATGCTCTTTATTCATCCACTCAAGATCAAATACATTTTTTTTAACTTGTAGTGGATGACACTTGATGTTAATAGAATTTTTTCACATGTTAAAAGTTTTTAATCTAAAAATTATTTTTGTATTTTTAAAATTTTTTTATTATTATTTTTAAATTTTTCTTTGTTAACCTAAGTAAGAATTGACTTTAAATTTTGTTATTTAATTAATTATAATTAATTATTTTTCAATCCTTAACAAATACTTATTTTTATCCACTCAAGTTCAAATACATTTTTCTTGGATGACACTTGATGCTAATACATTTTTTTTGCATATTAAAATTTTATAATTTAAAACATTTTTTTGTATTTTTAAAATTTTTTTGTACTTTTAAATTTTTTTGCGAAATTTTTGTATGTTGACGAAGCCACTTCGCATGGTCATTTTCGTCAGTTTGTAGAGACAGTAGGTATTTTTTGGAAGCAGGCAAGATAAAAAATTTGCAGCGCCTTCGCCGGGAATCGAACCGCGGACCTCTCCATTACGCGCTGAGCGTGCAGACCACTACACCACGAAGGTTCACTAAGAAGGCGGGAGAAACACCTTACATACTCCACCTTTTAAAGGGCAGCTGGGGTTTTTTTAGGGAAAACAACCGCGAAATCCTGGTTGAGGAGAATTATGATCCAACACCTTTTAGTTCGGGCGCCACTACAGAGACATTAGGTATTTTTTGGAAGCAGGCAAGATGAAAAATGAGCAATAGCCTTCGCCGAGAATCGAATCACGGACCCCTGGAATACCGGCCAAGTGTGCAGACCACTATACCACGAAGACTTTCTAAGAAGGCGGGAGAAATACCTTATAAGTTCTGCAGCAGAAAATTGGTCTCTTTTTATTACAGTTACTTACATATACCCATACTTCATTGCATGTTACCACAAATTTTCATTTTTCAGCAGCTAGGTGTTTATCATACAATTTTCTACAATTTCTTTTCGCAGTATGCTTTGCAAATGCAGATGAACATTAAGTTTGAACACCTTATTTTAATTTCAGATCTCTACGAATGCTTTTCTTATCATTATTTCTTTCATAAGACATTCCTATTTCAAATGTAATGGATCTTTCAGTCGGTAGTCTTTCTTTCAGGATCAGAGACTTCACTATCTTGATATGTGTTCGAATAGTGTTAGGAATTGGTTTAGCGACCACTTTTTTCACTTTTACTTTCAAATAGAAGCTTTTTTTCTTCCAAATTTAATATATTAAATATACTTTCCTTTGAAATACAATAGTCTTGACTGTTAAACTGCTATACAATTTGTTGATACAAATGCTTTTTCTCAGAAATTGCATTTACGTAACCTTTTAAGACCTCTTGCTTTTAAAAGTCATTTCCAAAATAAATCTCTTATTCTGCATTCCAATCAAAACAAAAAAGTAGCAGACAATTATATTGAAAATGCTAAATTATCGAAAAATACTAATGAGAAAATTGCTTCCATAAAGTGCTTCTGTTATTATCCTAACACACAAACTCAGTGTTATTTTAGCTAAAATAAAAGATTTCTTAAGGTAAAACTAAGAAAAAACTAAGTATATAATTTTTTCAAGATAATTTATTTTCTTATTTATGTATTACAAAACACAAAAACAATTTCCATTCACCGTAACTTAAGATACAATTTTTTCCCTGCCTTAAAATAACAAAGTAAAAACGCATTTACTAAACAATGAAATAAAGAATGAAAACTATTAGTCTTATATACAGTTTATTATAAATACATGTTAGTTTACTGAAAAATACAACCCAATGACAGGTCAAGCGCATCCATTTAAATCATTGAGCCTTTAAAAACGTTCCGTTCATTAACATTTTATGTTAATGAACATTTTATGTTATGTCATTTAAATCAAACAAATAAATAAATAAATGAAATAAATTAAAAACCCGTCAATAAATTAATAACAAACTTAATCTTACTAGTCTTAGAACAGAAAGGACAAGTGAACTGGATGATTTAGTTCCGAATATGTGTAACTAATTGGCTACTACATGTGTTCTTTTCCTAACTGGAAAAAATGTGCTCCCGAAATTGATGGAAAAGGCGGAAGTCCTTTTACGCCGTCGTTAATCATTTGAAGTTATTTTTTACTAAAACCGGCACAGTTGGAGATTTCTTCTCTTGCTACTAGATGGCACTGCGTGTCTAAACAAGCGATGTAGACACTTAACCCGCAAAATGGCTCCGTTTGTGAGCGGAGAGAACTTCTAGTCAGCTTATTCAAATTCTAACTTTACTGAAGATGTGTTTTCTCTGCATCGATCCACCGATGTGAGGGAAGTTGTCAGTAAAGGGCTGTTAAATGAAAAGCAAGTTCAGTCATTTCCTCAATGGGGATTAAATCATCGTTTATTGTTGGATGTTATATTCAAACT